CATCGGTTTCTTTATTCCCAGTACCTTGTAGATGGGTATGTTAAGCCCATACCACTTCATTCTGTACCTCTTAAGTCTCACAATTGTCACGATAAGTAGTACATGTATATTATCTGGCTGTGAATTTGTCGACACGGAGTCGTTGTCTTTAGAAGGTGACTGTTTATTCTGATGATCTTCCAAATTCCTATGAGTTTCCTTTGCTGGGGTTGCTGACACAGAAATCTCGTAGAAATTAAACGAAGAATTGCGATGACTGAGACATGGAGAAAAATACTTCTCTGCTGGTAGTGGCGTCAGTAATATATATAATTTTTTACAATGGTTAGGCTGCTGGACTCATAATCGTGAGTTTGCGGGTTTGTGGGTTCGAGCCCCATACCTGACGTTGTGCCCTTGGCAAAAGCATTTTACACGAATTTTCCTCATTTTACTCAGGTGAGAATGGGTCCACGGCCATAGACCTCGAAAGATCTTGTCAGTATGTTAGTATTTTAGCGTCTATAAAAAAATCTGGCAGCTTGCACAGTAATGCTTCCCAGGAGGTTGAGATTGTTTTAGAATGCTATCAACAGGTACGGTTGGGTAATGATATAGATAAGGTTGAAAGATGCGTAGACCTTGCAGTTAAGCGGGTTTTACTTGCGCTATGCAAATGATATTTGCTGTTATTAAATCATCATCATCCGGTGCCTTGTCGTCTGGCGTAGGCGATCATGGACCTTCACGTCGTTGTCTTGCGTTGCAGCGATGGTGTCTGTCGTTCTTGCTGTTCCCAGCCGTTTTGTCCACTTGTCCAGTATCTTTCCCCTCTATCTGCCTCTCTTTCCATCAAACTTGCCTGTTGTTACAATATTTTCCAATGCTTCTTACTGCATTGTGTGCCCCATGAACTTTACCTGTTACTTTAGTGTATTCGTCATAAATTGTCGTCTGCAATTTGCTTCAACCAAGACTTCTTCATTTGTGTTTCCAGCTGTCCATGGGATACGCAGCATGCGTATTATGAACCACAACTCTTGTTATTAAATACCATTTTTTTAAACACATGATTGTATTTCGTATTAAACATTGTACCTTTCAACTCCCCCCCCCCCCCCTCCGCGCGCTTAGCCCTTTTCCCCGTCTCCTCTACCAAAGAGGGATGTTAGCCGAGAAAAATACAGAGATGCTCCCTAAAACATATTATTTGCCACGTGAGAATGGAAACTATCTTTGTTGAGTGTAATGCTATTTTGTGTGTGTGGCCCGGGGGGGGGGGGGGGGGTCAGTTTCGTTACAGACGCCGCGGTAAGTAAAAGATAGGCGGTGCTTCTCTTCGCCTACAAGCTCAAAAGGACTCAACTTCGCTTGGCTGGCAATGTCGTAAGAATGCTTGATTTCAGAATCTCAGTATTCTAAACATTATTCTGACCTTCCCTTTGGGAAGCGTAAGGTTGGTTCACCAAAAGAAGCGCTACAAAGACACCCTGAAAATGTCTCTAAAGGACTTCAAAATAGATACTTCTACATGATGGTAGAGCCTGGCTCCTGAAATCCCAGTTGGAGAGCAGCAGTCACAGTGGGCAGCAAATCATTTAAGGTTCCACGAATAAGAAATGCTGAAACAAAGAAAGAAGCCCTACAAGCTGCGCACATCCACAAGTAAAAGTGGAAATTTCAAATGTTCAAACAGGAGTCAAACTTTTCTCTGCCAGAATTGGTCTTATTGGCCACAGCAGAAGCCACAAGTCACCATAACCTTCAAATTCTTCAAATTTACTCTTCCATTTCGCTGGAGAAATATTTTCCTCTACGGATATATTGGTTATTGTCAGACATTGACCAATGGGGTTTTATTATTATCAGTAGTAGTAGTAGTAGTAGTAGTAGTAGTAGTAGTAGTAGTAGTAGTAGTAGTTATTATTATTATTATTATTATCATCATTATTATTATTACTATTATTATTAGAAGTGTCATAATGATTCTTTATAATTTGAAGGCCCTACTATATACATATAGGCTTTTTGTAAAGGGAGGGAGGGGTGTAGCGCTATATTGTTTCGAGGGAGGTGGACGATGGAAGGGAAAGGGGTAATGTGTCTTAATTTAAGGGCTAGATGTAGAGATAGCTGAACTAAACACAAAATATGTGTGGAAAACGCAAATGCTCCCACGACTAGATTATTCATAAGAGATACGCTTAGCCAGAGAGACTGACCGAAGTCTGCGCTGTAATAATATTTAGGATTAAGCTCCCCGTTGCTATATTATGCTGAAGATGTGGGCTTGATACCCGAATTGGGAAAATTATTCTATCCAGTACATGTCTCTCTGTGTGTCTGCTCGCCTGCCTGTCTGTCTGTCTGTCTATCTATATCATGCCTGTCTGTCTATCTGTCTGACTTTCTGTCTATCTGTCTGCATGTGTGTATGTCTCCGTCTGTCTGTATGTCTGTCTGTCTGTCTCTTTCTCTATCTGTCTGTCTGAGGAGCTGCATCCCACTCACCCCACAATGCCTGTCTGTCTGTCTGTCTGTCTGTCTGTCTGTCTGTCTGTCTGTCTGTCTGTCTGTCTGTCTGTCTGTCTGTCTGTCTGTCTGTCTGCTGCATCCTATTTGTCCGGTTTATCTCAGACAGGCAGTGTCAAGTCAGCTTGACCGTATTCATCGAAACAGAGTTAATGGGGATGAGCAAAACACAATTTTTTCACCCGAGAGGTTGCTAAGTATCTCCGATGAGTTTAGGGTTTAAGTGCTGGGAGGAGTTTCTTCTTCTTTGGTAAGTGTTTTACGGCGCTCGCAACTGCTTAAGGTCATATGAGTGCGCGGGACACACCAAATATTTTCAGTAAGTAGGGAATTTTGAATTTTGCCGTGGTGGCGGCCGAAGCTTACTCTTATCGATTTTAGACCACCAAGTGATCTTTAACGTGCGCAACTTGCACACAAGACCTGCGAGATTTTTCGCCCTTGTCCGAGAAGGCTAGGTGTAGATAATATGTAAATTAATCTTTATGTCTGAGTAGAGGTAAGGCTTATAACTTTGTTTGTGAACAAACACGCACACACACACACACACACACACACACACACACAAACACACACACAGACACACACACACACACACACGCACGCACACACACAC